CCTAAGTGCGATGGCCTCCAACCTACTAGGAATGGCCGCCATCCTACTAGCCTCCAACCTAAGTGCAATGGCCTCCAACCTACTTACTAGGTATGGCCTCCAACTTGTGTTGAAGATCCTTTTTTTGCTCACCCTTCCCGAGTCTTCCCGATTGCTGGATGCCTTGTCGAAGTCGAGTCCAAGGCGCATGTGCTGGAGTAGTTCCAAAGACCATTGCCATTGAGATCCTTTCTCACAGGCACTCCCAGCTGCGCTAAAGCTGATCACCTGACCAACGAGCATTTCAGCTGCCTCTTGGCTAGGTCGAACCAATCTTTCATTTCTTGCACGGGACATTGTGGGGGCCAACCTTTGACATGGTCCAAACGCTAAAGCCAAATGCAAAACGCAAACAACTTTTTCCAAAAGCAGCCAGATACATGTTCAACGTCCGTGTTTCAGACGTGTTTCCGCTTCTTAGCCCGTCATTCTGAATTCTGTCATTCTGGATCTGAGAAGGCTAAACATGCGATGCTTGAGCAAGGCACATCTGGTGTCAGCAGCCACAACTCCATCCGCTGCAGTATCTCCAAAGCCCATTCCCAACCCCCGGCTTTTTCACAAGCAGTGATAGCAGAGTTGATGGATATCCTTCGCAAAACCCGAAAACAAACTCCCATAAACTGTCCCTTCGTTCCTATCGCGTGCAGAATGCACTGTTGAATTGCCTAGTGCAGCCGTGCATCACATTTGGCAGCACTTGCACCGCGTCCATGTCGGCCAGTAGATGTAAAGCCTTCCAGCTAACGACTTCAACCGCGTTCAATAAGCTACTAGAAACAAGTGCATCGCTACTAGTAACAAGTGCCTAACTACTAGTAACAAGAAGCTAGTAGGAACAAGTGCCTTACTAGTAGTAACAAGAAGCTAGTAGGGTCGCAAAACCGTCGGCGCCTTTTGCCAGTGACCTTCGCATGCAGAAATCTGAGCGCTGAAGGTCACGACGTTGGGATGCACGCGGAAAGCCTCGTCCAGTTAATTTGTCCATTTTGATGCAAGTTGAAAGAGAACAAAACGACCAAAGTACTACTACACAGACAGGACAAAACTTGGTATATAACAAACCAGTTACATGACCTACAACCCTTTCACCTTAGAGTCCTCGAGTGAAGTTGTTAGCAAACATTCATCCTCCGGAAATAGGACATACTATGACCACGCGCATGTCATTTTATGTGAAGTGACCGTAACAAAGAAATACCATGTTGCAACCACACCCTCTTTTGAAGTCGACAGGACAACACCGAATGCTCTGACTTACTGCAACCACCTTGCAGCGGAAACATTCCAATTGGCATTCGCAAATTATCGTTCTGGAGTGGCGAAACACATGATAATTATTGTTTCTAATAGCTTCTTGTTACTAGTAGTAAGGCACTTGTTACTAGAAGCGATGCACTTGTTCCTAGTAGCTGATTGTTTCTAATTCCCTCTTTCGCTCCAAAATTCGATAGCTCCGCCTGAAGATCCAACGCCTTCTCCCAGGCAAGGGCTCTGGCGCATGCGCTGACAGCTGCGCCCAAAGCCACCACGTCCACTTGCAACTGCCAACAAGAACAAAGACGGCACCAAATAGACATTGAACGAATTGAGCACAAAAACATCAAAGTCTTCAAACCAAGCACCAACTCCAACTAAGACATATACTAAAACAAGGCTTGAAATTCCGTCCTCGGCACGCACAATTTCTTGCATCAATTGCAAAGCCCACTGCCACTCCTGACAACACCAAACAACTTCTTCACTCACTACGCAAACTGAGCGGATGATAAGTGGGTGGGGCTTAAATGGGCTTAATATCTATTCTATTTTCTGCCAAGTTTAGAATGCCGCTTATCGCTCCGGGCATACCAAGTTTATGATCGCGTCCTTCGACTTCTCGCAAGCGCTCATTGCTGCACTGCAGCTGATGACATCGATCTCGACCTCCCTCAATGACATGTCCTGCGCACTCCAACTGTTCAACTCGTTTTCGCTTTTCATATTCGCGAAGAGAAGGCCCAAACTTGTAGATCTAATTACTTTGCTTCGAGTCTTCGAGTGCAATTCTTTCTGGCATATCTTCTGACTCGCTTCAGGCCCGGGGGGGAAGACTGCCATCCTACACTTGCGGTTGAGGAGGACGAGGAGAAGGAGGAGGAGGAGAACAGCACGGCAGCTGACATAAAATTTAACAACCCTCACCTGACAGGTGGGGAAAAAACACCTGAACAACGACCGCTCGAAGTGTTGTGAAAAGGAAGTCTGTGCGCCGATCTTGCTAGTGACAGCCATTGTATGGCTCTAAAATGCTCTAAGCTGCCCCTTATTAGACAGGATCGATCGAAATGATTTGCAGAGCGGCCGATGCGAAAAACTTTATGAGCAGTTGAAAATCGCACCGGAAGTTGCACCATGTCATCAGGGCGAATTAGGTGTTTCGTACCCTTGGCTCCAATCATTTGGCAAACGCAGCCCTGGGGCGATGCGGTCTGGTGGAACACAGCGGCGTACTCCAAGATCGCCTGAAGTCATAGGCCTACTGCTTGTCGAGCCGGAAGGAAACGTCAATCGTCCTTCTTTCCAACTTGCGAAGACTCAAGTCTTCGGCTCCAGGCTTGTGAGGTCCCTCGCCGTAGCGAAGAGCTGGATGGCGGCACGCGAGCTGGAACCCACCCTCTCCACCAATATGAAAAGCTGAGCGAACACATCTGATTCTCGACCACTTGAAGAGTCGATGTGACAGCAAGTCAGTGCAAAAATGTTGCTTCGCAAGTGCATGTCACAGTGTCAGAAGCTTCACCAGCACTCCTCGCTACTGGGAGCAAAGGGCATCGCTACTTGGAGCAAGGACGCTACTAGGGGCTCCTGGCCTTCCTGCTAGGAGCAAGAAGCTACTAGTAAAGGGCATCGCTACTTGGTTGTTTTCAAAAAGGCATGAAATCGTGGAAAAAAGGCGCTTTTGGCGGTGCAAAACTCACCAAGCATGGTGGTAGTGGCATGCTTAGCGGCGCAAACTCATACGTAACGTAAGGACAGTATGACTACTTGAGGCATGCGGCGCCGAAGTAAAATTTTCTGTTTGAACATACCACGACCAAACGTACTTCAATAGTTGTTTGGGCACCCCTCCGTCACCAGTTGCAATGCCCATGTCCACTGCGAACTCTTCTCGCAGGTGCTGAGTGCTGCTGAAAAAGAGAACCTCAAGGTGCAAAAAAACATAATTACTTAGTTTCAACTTTCAACCAAACTGTTCTCACGGTCGGAGCCGCCGCAAACAATAACAACCACCAGCGGACGAATCCAAACGCTTTCCACCGGCTCCAAACACGATAATCTTGGTCTCGTCCAATCTTAACTGTTCAACTTCTATCAATTTCTATTGAATCGTGATGCGTGATCTTTTTTTCTTTTTACCTTGGGGTCTTCAGGCACAATTTCCCCCTGATAAGCACTTAACAGGCACGTCAAAGTGTGAGGTTTACACGTTGGGCTCCAACGCTCATCTAACAAGAAGCTACTAGGAACAAGTGCATCGCTATTAGGAGCAAGTGCCTTACTAGTAGTAACAAGAAGCTATTAATTTAATTTAAGCTTAATTCTAATAGCTTCTTTGTTACTACTAGTAAGGCACTTGTTACTACTAGCGTGGCACTTGTTACTAGTAGTAACAAGAAGCTCTACATCTGAGAAGCACATTGGGCTCCAGTTGGAATTCTGGCAACCGATTCAGCAATCTCAATGCAGCTTGCCAGCTCGACCGTCCTTGGTACCACAACGTGTCCGTACCAAAAACGCTTATATAGACACTTTTCTAAGAAACTGATCTTGGCATAGAAACTCCCCAGATCTCGAAGACATCGCGTGGCAGCCCGTAGGCTGTCTGGGCGGAGTTCGGTAGTGCACCTGAGGCAACGGCAGGCCTGTATCTTCACCCGAAACGCTCATTTAATCAAACTCCACATCTGCAAAACTCTTTTCTGGACAGTGTTTTTTTTTCCCATTTTCAGTTGCAAATGCAAAGAGAAACATAGAAAAAACAACCAATTTGCGTCGCAACTTGCGCCGATGTGATTAGCCTTGAAGGCATTGTGATCCCGATTGCTTTGATAGCCTGGGAATTGGCCTCGACAGTTTGGTTTCAGCCGTGATCGGCCTCGCTTAAAATACAGGGCTTCTAGAAACCGCTCCGATCTTTCAAATGTCACAGCAAAAAACATGTAAACACATGCTATATAAATGTATAGGAATGGCTTTGCTGGGCAATTGACTCGAATGACCACATCTCGTCATTGCATACATCGCCCCGAACTGCAACAAAAATGGTTTCCTTTTTGCATACATACATCCCTCATTGCATGAAATTTGATTGCCTTCATCCTAAAAGATGGAACATGTTGCAGGTTGAATGGTTTTCTTGTCAATGTGTGACGAGACCAACTTCCCCAAGAGCTTGCTTCTTGACTTTCATTCGCCATGTCTTTTGATCCAGAATTGTCAAACAATCAAGTCGTGATTGCGGTGCGATGCAAGGAGTTCCAGCAATTCCAATGGCTCTTTTTTGGTCGAAGGATGTCAAAAGCCTCCAACGCCTCCAAAGACCCCAGGAGTTTCCGTGCAGTCTCAGGTGGTGAACAAGCCAACGCCGACTCGTAACCTGGAAGGCAGGATGCCCCTTGTTTTCTCAGTAGTTTCTTGTTACTACAAGTAGTAAGGCCATGCAGGAGCTACAAGTAGCTTCTCGTTCCTAGCGATGCCCTCTGTTCGTAGCGAAATTTGCCGACACGGAAAGTGCTACTAGTAACAAGTGCCACGCTAGTAGTAACAGGTGCCTTACTAGTAGTAACAAGAAGCTACTAGGAACAAGTGCATCGCTAGTAGTAACAGGTGCCTTACTAGTAGTAACAAGAAGCTACTAGGAACAAGTGCCACGCTAGTAGTAACAGGTGCCTTACTAGTAGTAACAAGAAGCTACTAGGAACAAGTGCATCGCTAGTAGTAACAGGTGCCTTACTAGTAGTAACAAAGAAGCTATTAGAATTAAGTTTACCGACACGGAAAGTGCTGAAACACGACCGTCTGGGGTTGCGAAGTGCCGTGCCCGTGCTGTCCAAGTAGCTCAAGGGAGTCGCCTCTAGGCGCCAGGACCACGTGGAGGCCAAGACAAAAACAGCCGCCTCGTGTTCAAACACGAATTACGCCAGCATAGACCCCAGACAGCAAAAAATGCCTGTGGGCCAGCATGACGCAGGCACCCACACACCAAGTCAGGCAACACGCAGGCAAACGCAGGCAAATCTCAAGCTGCCATAGACATCTGGCAGCAACCCCGCAGCCTCACCTTGCACTAAACAACAAAGCTCCAAAGCGCACAGGGCACAAACATTATTGCCTTCCAACGGCACACCGCTGCGTACACTGCAAAGACACACCCTGCAGCACCTCACAGCGGCACCCAATGGCACCAGCACAAAAGCTTCAAAGCGCACATCGCAAAGACATGGCGCACCCTGCAGCCACACCACGAGCATCCGGGCTCCAAAGCGCACACGGGCCATACACATCTGGCAGTGGCGCCCTGTAGCGGCCTGCAGCGACCAACACATAGGCACCTATTCCTATTCCTTCTACGGCCCAAGATGACATTTTTGAAGTTGACCATGTCAAATTGCCATGCGTATGCACCCTGCAGCGGCACGGTCCACAGCAACCTGGAGCGGCACTTCTGCAGTGCCAGCGCCCAAGCTCCAAAACGCACACGGCCACACGTCTGGCGGCACCCTGCTGCCACACCGCACAGGCTCTGTCTACACTTGAAGTAACCCCAAATAGCTCTCGCAATCTGGGAAACGGGATTGCTCACGGGAAAAGAATAACTCATGCATGTTCAAACCGTAAATGGAAGCTAAATTCAGGCAACCATAAGGGAAGGTGCCAAGCCAGGCTTTCAGAAGGCACCAAGTGTGAAACATATTACTGAACTTTCGCAGTGTTGGCTAATTGAGAATGTCCAACTTTGCTGGCTTGCCGTGTGGGACATAATTCGCAGAACACGCAATGGAAACCGCCACCGAAACGTCGGTCGCAAGGTTGAATTAATAAGCTACTAGGAACAAGTGCATCGCTACTAGTAACAAGTGCCTAACAAGAAGCTATTAGAAACAAAAAATATATAACTTAGAATTAGTTTTTTTCACTGTTTTTTCTTACTTTTCATTTCTCACGCTTGCATCCGTTCGCGGCCTTCCAGCGCAATCGGCAACCGCGCAGGGCGGCCTCGAAGCCTTAAAATCACTTGAAGTCCAACATCGAAACAAGAAAAGTGACGACAAGAAAAAACCCAACTGACATGCATTTCATGCCGAAAAGCTAAGGGCAGCTGTCCAAAACGAACGGTGAGTTAGATGTTCATTTTTTCATAATGTTTCCATGTTTGTCTTTTCCTGTCTTTGGGCGCAAGCAGCTGATGATTCCAGGCACAAGCCCCATCAAGCGCTGCAACATCAGGAGATGCAACATTGATGTCCAGTTCTGCGCCTTCCTCACGAGTGCATTGAGATGTTAAAGTTTGACAAATTCGCTCTTTTCGACACAGCTTTTGCAAAACAACTTTTGTAAATTATTTGATGTGTTTTTCTTTATACTCTTTTTTACTCTTGTATACTATTCTTTTTCTAAGAAACTCGCAGGCGCTGATCATCGCTGCCATTCCCCAGTCGTTCTTTGGCAAAGCAATGGCCCAACGCCACAGCGAAGCGTTCTCACACCTCGGTGCTCCTGGGAGCCGAAGTTCCACACGGTCAGAGTTTTTCATCGTTTTGTATCAGCTAGATGATACTAGTAACAAGTGCCACGCTAGTAGTAACAGGTGCCTTACTAGTAGTAACAAAGAAGCTATTAGAATTAAGTTTAAAGTAAATTAATAGCTTCTTGTTACTAGTAGTAAGGCACTTGCTCCTAGTAGCGATGCACTTGTTCCTAGTAGCTTCTTGTTACTAGTAGTAAGAATGCTCCTAGTAGCGATGCCAGGAGCCCCTAGTAGCATCCTTGCTCCTAGTAGCGATGCCCTTTGCTCCTAGTAGCTTCTTGTTACTAGTAAGGCACTTGTTACTAGTAAGGCACCTTGCTACTAGTAACTTCTTTTTAATTAAACATCATAAACATCTGACAAAGATGTGTCCTTTCTGAATAGACATCATAGGTTTCTTTTCAGTCTTAAAACGACAAAATTACAGAGCAAATCTCCGCGAATCCCTTCCATTTGCGGCAATACTTGAGCAAACATTTCGAGCGAAAAGTCCTTCTCCAACTGTGCTTGACCATCTCCCCACAAGATCCAAAAACTTTTCTCTTTGATAAATTTCAGCATCGATGGTGGCTTCCGTTTCAAGTGCCTTGTGTGCTTTCTGTCATGTCCTTCATCTTACTGGAAACGGTGTCGCAGGGCGTTCCTCCTTCTCACACCTGAAAACTCTGGTATCTTGTGAAGGATGAAGCAGTTTGGCATATTCGCAGGTTGCACACACACATGAAACTATCGACCCCTAGCCCTAGCCTGGCACAATACTGAAAGGCCAAAACATCATGACAACTTAAGTATTTTTGACTTCCAACCTTCCAATATGCCAAATACCATGATAGGCCATGTGATACAAGCTGGCATGGCATGACCTTTGCTCCATGGCTCTATGACCTAGGATCTTCTTGATGTCTTTACCCACTGGTCCCATTGGTATTGTGAGGAACAATAAAATTTTCTGGGCCCACGAGCGCGCTGATGGCCGCATTACAACCTTGCAAAAGAGTTCGAAGTGTTTGGCAACTCCAACATGCTTGCAATCTTGCGCAACAAAAGCACAAACATGCTTGGAGACTGCAAGTGACACCGGAAGACATGCATCTCTAGCATGGAGATGGTCTAAGAACGCTAAGCTGGTTCTCGCGCGTTGCTTTGATAAGGGGTACCCGCTCGCGCCCCCGCAAAGAGAACGGTAGAGGGGAACATTTGGATTTTCGTTTTTGCTTCGCCTTTCGATAGAATCCATAGCTGAGAGACTTGGACAACGAGATGAGAAGAGGCGACCCGAAACGAACAAATAGAAAGGAAAAGGAAGGTTCGGTTAAGCAAAAGGAAGGTTTAAAGCAAACGGAGCCCCCATAATGTCAGACTTGAAGCGAAAATTTCTTTTTGTATGGTATGGAAACAAAGTCGCTTTGTACGGGTTTCACATGGTTTCACAGCATCTTTGATAAAGCCAATGCCGACAGATCCATGCAACATGGTAAAAAATCTTTCTCTGCCCTTCTTGAACCGTGCGTTTGGACAAAAGGAAATTGGCCTGCAAAACGGTTTTAAACAACATGTGTTTTACCGGTTTTACAACGCCTTTAGCGCAAACACTAGTCACAAACCCATACAAAACAAGTCAAAAACTAAATAGTAGGTTGGAGGTCATCGCAAAGTAGGTTGGAGGTCATCGCACAGTAGGTTGGAGGCCATCGCTAATCGGTTGGAGGCCATCGCTATAGTAGGTTGGAGGCCATTGCAAAGTAGGTTGGAGGCCATCGCTACTAGGTTGGAGGCCATCGCAAAGTAGGTTGGAGGCCATCACAAAGTATGTTGGAGGCCATCGCTAGTAGGTTGGAGGCCATCGCTAGTAGGTTGGAGGCCATCGCATAGTAGGTTGGAGGCCATCGCTAGTAGGTTGGAGGCCATCGCTGTAATAGCTTGGAGGCCATCGCTAGTAGGTTGGAGGCCATCGCTATAGTAGGTTGGAGGCCATCGCTAGTAGGTTGGAGGCCATCCCTATAGTGGCTTGGAATGCCATCGCTATAGTAGGTTGGAGGTCATCGCAAAGTAGGTTGGAGGCCATCGTAATAGTAGGTTGGAGGTCATCGCAATAGTAGGTTGGAGGCCATCACCGAATCCCTCAAGTTGCAAAGTCCGATAGGATAAACCAACAGTGCGACATACTCGGAGATACGGTCACCGGTTCGCACAGCGTCGAAATGCCTTTGTTACTGGTAGCTTCTTGTTTCTAGTAGTAAGGCCAGGAGCTACTAGTAGCGTCCTTGCTCCTAGTAGTGATGCCCTTTGCTCTTAGTAGCTTCTTGTTCCTAAGCACAGACCGAATGGAGACCAGCCGTCGAAACAGTCCCTCGCAATGTGCTAAAACAAGGTTGGAAAAGTGCAGAATTAAAACTTGAAAGAAAGAGATGCTTATCAAAACAAGGAACTTCTAGAGAAAACCATAAGAACAGTAGAGGTGTCTGAATAAACGTATCGAACAAAGCGAAAGGGTAGTGAACCGTTGAGGAACCTATAGGTTTGTATAGGGAACATGTCGAAAAGTAGAAATACCTAAGGGATCCTAAGGGAAAACTGGGTTCTACTGTGGCTTCACATGTGTCTTGGATGTCTCTCTGGTCTTGAAATCATGTTCATGGCTGTGCCCGGACAGACTGCGTGATGTAAAATGCCTTTCTACAACACCACACCAATCACACTTCACCACACCAACCACTAACCCTCCACACCTTTCACATCACAACTCACTGCATCACATGATGACACGTCACATCGTAAATCAGCAACTTGGATAGTTGCATGGTATGAAAAAAGGAACAAGGAAAGCAGGCAGGAAAGGAACAGGAAAAATACAAAAGGTCCAAAGGTTAAAATGAAGAACAAACAAGGTAAAAACTGGACCTGGAGGAACACGTTTTTCATCGCTTTCACTTGACACATCTCAGAACCCGCACTCACTGCATCGGGCTGCACTTGGATCTCCTTCATCAAAGCCACAATACGGAGGGACCACCTGTGCGTTTTTCACACAAACGAACACTGGCACATCCTTTGCACTATTCGGCAGCGACAAAAACATTGCAAATCCATGTATCAAGGTTTTGCATTCCGCAGTGTTTGCATCGTGCTACTCTGCTACACTGCTGAGTTTATTCAATAGTAACAATAAGTTCGACTCGGATTAATTTCTGCGAGACCTGCCAGTTTAACTCCGCTCTGACATAAAGGTTTTGGCAATTGCTGTCTACCGGTGTTCCCATGTAGAATCCGAATCGGGTAGCCAAATGGTTTCACATGATTCGAAGGTGACCCCCGCCGGCCTCCACTCGATGCATTTCTCGCATGCACTGATTGCAGAATTACAAATAATGGTGTCCCGTGTGTCCTTCGCAGCAAAATGCAGCAAAGATAGCAAAGAAACATGGAGAACGCCAAGCACGCCCTTGTCTTTGTTTCTGTATGTTTCTTTTCTTTAGACGTTTAGTCGTTAGTCCTTTCTACTTTCTTGTGGTTTTTATCTTGTATACACAAGAAAAAACAATGCGCGCACACACACACCATATGTTTTGCGGTTTGCAAACTGACTTCCTTCGTTGTCGCGTGACCGCGTGACCTAGCAGCTTTGGGAAATTCATTGCCTGCTCGGAAAGCAGCTGCAGTGCACAACGCCATTCTTTGGCCTTCCTGACCGTCGAGGCAAGGTAAGCCGCAGTGAGAACAAACATGTCACGTCACAGTTTGATCTTTCTCCTTTCCACTTTGAAACGGTGACTGCTGAGCATGTGGCACGTGTGAATCCAAGACACTCACAGGCACTGACTGCGGCACTGCAGCCCACAACATCGTGACTCAGTGCAGGTTGTGGGTGACTCAGTGTGTGCAGGTTTCACATTTCCACAAAGCTTTCACCCTCACTTCGTCCCACCGAGCCTGTGCGGCAACATGCACCTGGAAGAAGAAAGCGCGTGGCCGTTCGTCGTTCTTTCGAAAACATGTGCGACTCTCTCGCGCTCGCCTGCGCATCTCCAAGATTTCGAGCGCGCTGGGCCAATCGCCACGCTTTTCGCAGCACGAAATCACTGCCTTTGGCGATTTGTCCCGGAGATGTGTCACGAAAAGTGTCACGTTCCGTCAAATACAAACGCAACTGCGATAAGAACAAGGCGCATTGCAAATTATGATATCAAACTGGCATTGCTGGCTGCGCATGGACTTCAGCAAATTCAAAGCAGGATGCATTGCATGACCTTTCCTTAGCTCCACTTAGCTCGTATTCTCGCCGGACGAACCACGAGCCCCACGAGCCCCACGAGCCCACAGTTACCAGCAATGACTTAGGCTTTGAAAGCACCTGTGGAAACATGTGGAAACAACATGAAGCGACTGCTTGTTGTTTGTTCCACTCACGCCTGATCACAGTCCCAGCTTGTCCCAAGCTTCTCGCATGAAGTGACAAGGGCACTGAAGCAAATGACATCTGCTTTCACCTCACTCCCACACCTGCATGCGGAATGAGAGCCAAAGAGTTGACACGGACGATGTTTTTTTCAGCAGGCTAAAACATCGGCAAACATGTTTGGCAAAGGACTTGTTTTTGCAACTTGTTTGTTTGTACTTTTTGGAACACTTTTTGGCAAACTGTTCGTCTTGTGCTTTCCACTTCTTTCCACATCATGAAGGTGTCAGACGGCACAACCCAACTGCCCCGCATCTCTTCGAAGAGAACCAGTGCATGTCGCCAGCGCCCCTGCAGTGCTCCAATGGCCGCAGAATAGGCAAAGGCATCACCCAGGCGCCCTGATGCCATGTTTGAAACAACCTGGACGAGAGAAGTCTTGCACAAGTCCTTGCATATGGTCCCATATGGTTACATTCATGATATATGACAGCGTGATTGTGGCTTAGACATGCCTAAATTCCCCACAAGGATGACACTCGGATCACGTTTTGGGAAGTGGTGACACTCACTTGCCGCGCCTCCACTGCCTCTTGCCATTGAGTGCACTTCTCCAGACTAGAAACCACCGAACCTTGAACTAACTCAGAAAACGCAAAACTGAAAGCGAAGCAAACAACCTTTGGAACTCTCAGCAAAGCCGTTTCAGATCTTGGCATGGTTTCCTCCGTTGTTTGCTTGTTTCGAGTCTAACACAGAACAGGGAGGGAACCAAGAAGCTGAAAGTCATGGGATCCGCTTCCACCGTCTCCTTGAAGCAAGAAGAACGCTTGAGAAAGCCATGAAAGGACTTTGGAGGTAAGTTTGAACACAACCGCATAGGAACCAGAAACAGAAACATACAAGTCTTAAGTGCAGTCACTTGAAGTATTTCATCTGGTACTGCGTTTGTCCGCAAACAGGCAAACACAATTTGTCCTGCCACATGGAGTGCAAGAGAGCAATGGCAAAGGTCCACTTGGCCGATGTGGCACACGCATTGATTGCCGCATTGAAGCTGACCCTCAAACGGTCAACAAACAGGGTCTGAATCCATGGTTCTGAAACGATGTTTTGGAAACTACGTGTCCAAAACTAGGGATGTTTCGGAACATTTACCCGTTTCGGAAGCTATGGTTCGGAAACTGCCTCTGTTCTGGAAACTGTTCGGAATGGTTCGGAAACTGGATATAATGATATAGTATTTATGTTTTTGAAACCCTGTTTCGGAAACTCCATCGTTTTCGGAGCCACTGACCCTCCGAGCCAAACATCTACACTACAGTCTAACGTAGTTCCTGAAAGGCGCATAGTTTCTGAAAGGGAGTTTAGCCCCATCAAACAATGAGCAACCCAAGAAACGCGATCTGAAACTTAGTTAGGTAGGAACGGCCTACAAAACATGTTTTCCCACTTGACAGCCTGGATTCTCTAGACTGCATGTCCTTCCCAAGCGTTATTCTGTTTTTTTTCTTGCTGTTTCCCTTCATTCCCATTATTTTTGTTTCGTCTCGACCCCATCAACCAAAAGCCCCGACTTCACCACAAATCACAGGTATTAAGTCCCCTCTGTTTTAGTGGAATTTGGACGATGAATTGAAAGATGCCATGGGGGCTGAAACAAACAATGGTACGGATTGGAGCCCGCACCTTTTTGTCAGGCGTCTAAAGGTAAAGTGCACTGGAAAAGGCAATGGATTATCCTTTCTTTTTTTGTTTCAAACAATGGCATGGTCGTGACACGTCCACCTGCGACATTTTTCGTTCGCTTGCTCTCCCTAGTCAAGCTTCGCGTTCATCATTTTTCACAAGTGCCTTCGTCGAGCGAATCGTCGTGAGTCAGCGGAGCAAAAAGAAAGTCACAGACCGAATAACAATGCTCAGACCAACAAACAAGGACCAAGGATCTGCGGCGAGGAGGTGTCACGAAGGCGTGCGCAAGAGATCGTGATCAGCCACGCGCAGGAACATCCAACATGGAGCTGCAACTACGCAACAAACGCCGACTCAGCACCCAAAGAAAAGGACTTAGCCTCTCTTTTTACAAAGTCTCAACCACACGTTGCACCACCAAAAAAACAAATGAGTTTCCAACACCAGCTCAGCTCCCAGTTTGCCTATCAACGATCTGAATCCAACACGGTTTGGTGCACAAAAGAACCTAAGGATCAGAACAATCACGAGTTAAACTGTCAGCGTATTGGTCCAAAGAAACAAGATTGACACGCCCCAAAGGAAGATGGCAAACAACACGAGAAAACATGCAACGCCCGACAAACGAAACAACAGAACCAAGACACTCACAGTCACATCGCTTGAGCCTTCATGCTCCCCACACATATCTAAAAACAGAAGCAAAATTGCTTCCCGCCCCCAGCCCCCCCAGCTCTGCGTAACAACCATGACACCATACCATGTAGTAGTGGTCATAGTCCTAATCGTAGTCGTAGTAGTAGTAGTAGTGGTGGTGGTAGTAGTAGTAGTCGTCGTGGTAGTAGTAGTAGTAGTAGTGGTAGTGGTAGTGGTAGTAGTAGTAGCAGCAGCAGCAGTAGTAGTAGTAGTCGTAGTAGTAGTAGTAGAAGTAGTAGTAGTAGTAGTAGAAGTAGTAGTAGTACTAGTAGTACTACTAGTACTAGTGTAGCACCTAGTAGTAGTAGTAGTAGTAGTAGTAGTAGGAGTAGTAGTAGTAGGAGTAGTAGTAGTAGTAGTAGGAGTAGTAGTAGTAGTAGTATGGCAGCAGCAGCAGCAGTAGTCGTGGTAGTGGTGGCACGATAGGGCCGGCCGGCTGGCGCCGTGGTTTTGGTCGGCTGGCCGGCCGGCTGGCTGGCGGCGTGGTTTTTGGCCAGCCGGTTGAGGCTTTGGGTTTGGCCGGCCGGTCGGCTGATCGAGAAATAGCGGTCCGCGTTAAGCTCGCAATGCGAAGAACATATGAAAATGGGTCCGGTTTTCAGTCCCAGGCACAACAAAAACCTTTTTAAGTCCTCTATATGAGGGATTTTGAATTGGACCTTATCGTTTTACAGTGTTTTGAGTTCGCCGCATACTTATGATTCATGATCATATACAGCGCGGGGGTTATCGGTTTTGAGGTGGACCTTATCGTTTTGCAGGGTTTTGTGCAAAAGAACTACCCCTCTCTACAAAGTGGTGTTCGCATGTTTTGACTGTAGCTCATACAATTAGTGCTTTGTGAACAAGAATCATTTGCAAAAATCCCGTCCTTGGAAAAGCCAAGGCGCACATTGGCCTCCACACTGTCCAAACCCATCTCATCCAGGAGTACCAAAGCCCGTTGCCATTGCTGAGCCTTGAAATTGGAAACACAGCAGCTGTGTTGCGCAGCCGTGTTGCACTTCCGTGGCCCCTGGTGGCCCCTGGCTTCGTGATGCTTCGTTTTTTGAGCCAACGCCGTTTATCGCAGCCACGAATCTTGACTGGAGCAAAAGATTGCAAAAACACAATCGGAATTCAACGAAACCTACGAAGCCCAAAGCCAGGCCCACGCTGCCCGCCTTGTCACAAACACTTATGGCAGAACTGTACGTAAAGACATTAGCTTCCATGCCATCTTCCTGAGGTTGAAAGTTTAAAACAGCGCATTTCACGGCAAATGTACTACGTTTATGCTGAACATTTCTTCAAGGTAGTTCTGCTATATCTGTGGCCAGTCCAAACTTGTATGAGGATTGCTTGCAATTAACTCGCTCGCCCTTTGAACAACAAATTGAAATTGTAGAACACACAGAGTTGAAACTTATTCCACCAATTTCAAAGGTGGTAACCTGGTATGCCTGAATCAATTCGTGACTCACACGTGCACTTGACTTGAACAAGCAAAAAGGCTCTTTGCCATGACCAACCAAGGGATGAAACAACAAAAAGTCTTGGTTTGCGGCCATCCATGTGCTGCACTTATTTAGAGGGCGGTCAAGAAATGCTCCCCCCAGTCACTCTCTTTTTAGAGATTTTAGAGGCCGAAGGTCGAGCATCTCACGAAGCAGCTGAAGAGCCCACCGCCACTGAGTTTCCATGGATGTGATTGCACTGCTGAAGCAAATCACATCGCGGCGCAACTCCTGGAGACGAACGTGCCGCAAGATTGGAGTGGCTGCTTCGTCAAAAAGCAAGTGACGAAGTGGCCTGCACCCTAGTAGCAATGGCTCCAAACTACTAGTGATGGCCTCCACCCTAGTAGCGATGGCCTCCAAACTACTAGCGATGGCCTCCAAACTACTAGTGATGGCCTCCACCCTAGTAGCAATGGCCTCCAAACTACTAGTGATGGCCTCCACCCTAGTAGCGGTGGCCTCCAAACTACTAGTGATGGCCTCCACCCTAGTAGCGATGGCCTCCAAACTACTAGTGATGGCCTCCACCCTA